CCTCGCTGCTGCCGCATCAGGTCAGCCCCCCACCGATGGGGACTCAAACCTGGGCCTCCGGCATCACTCAACAGGGACCCAGCCTCTTGAGCCAAAGGGAAATCTCCCCTCAGCCCGACGGCTGTGGTCCCTGCTATTCACAGGTCGCACAACCTGCAATGGTGGCCGTATGCGTTACAATATGCAATTTATGTATGAATTTATATTCCTACTACTTTGGACAAAGTTTTCCAATTTGTGCAGTTAAGGCCGAAAGAAAATGTGTAAGAAAAGTTGTAAGTGAACAGAGAACTAGATATACCATTAGCAATGGAGAGATCACATCAGGCAAAACATTTTTGCTACAACTGTGAACAGAATAATGTTGTTTTTTAGTAGCACACTTTCATTGCTTAGTTTTTGTGTTCAGTTAGGATTGATGATTTAGAGTCGATTTTCATTAACTGCCATTCTTATGTTTAATTATATTTCCTTGTCACAAATGTGAAAGAGTAAGGTCCACCCTGAGGAATGTGCCTTAAAAGTATTTGAACCTTGTCACCTGTAGTAATGAAGTAGGATTTTTTTCTTCATTTGTTATTCCTTGTCTTTTTCTCCATTTTGTCTTTGCTGCCTTTAATTTTCTTGACACATTTTATAGCTTCTGAAAAACAAGTTGGATATTCAGTATCCATCTAATCATTAAGCACATAGGCTTTGTTCAGAATTTAACATTTGTGTTCTTTTTCCTTAGGAGGACATACGGATCAAGTTAGAACACGAAAGAGAAAAAAGGTAATTCTTTTTTTTCATAAATGGCTTCACATTTAAAACTAATTTATTTAAGCCTATAATATTTATTGGCAAGTTTCTGAGTATGTTTTCTGGATTTTTTTAGATTTTGATCTTTTAAAAAATCTCCATGAATCTAGCATTTAATTTGAATTTGCCAAATGCGGCTTTTATTAGTTTAATAAAAAAATACCCGTGGATCCTGCTGGATAGAATTAATGTACAAAACCTATAAAAAAGTGAGTAGACTGTGGAACCACCCCGGTGATAATTACTTGTACTAATATCGGTTCATATAGACTTACATGTTTGATCACCTGCCTTGCCGTTGACTTTGTAAAGTGTTTTAGAGTTTCCTGAGTTTTCATGTGGTATTCATTATCCAAAGGATATCACAATATATCAAATGTGGTCTGTTCAGTTACATGCGAATTGAGCTCTGGCTCTTTAAAAAGTGATCACGCTAGCATATCGAGGTCAATGCAATTTCAGTTACTTGGTGCCTGGAACTGTTCACTAACGAGAAAAAAAAGGCTTCAGTTCACTTCTGAAGAGTGATTGTGAAGTTTAAGACATTGTTAAGTTGTGATTCACTGTTGATGTCTAGAGTGCTAGAGATCTTAAATCGCATTGAATCAAAGAAGCATCCCCTATTAAGAAACCACATTACAGAATGAAACATTTTTGTTAATACTCATAAAGCAGGTTTACCAACTAGGTGTCAAATGCAGTCTCTAGCTCTGTAGTGAGGTGCATATTGAATTTCTGGGCTTAGTTCCCTGACGTTATTAGTGTGCAGAAAAAGACAATTCAGCTCCAGATGTTAGTTTTGAACATGCTTGTATTTTCAGTTTTATGTCCTAATCTTGTGAGATGTGCAACAAAATCTTGACACTCTTTTGCTCTGTTTTATACGACAGTTACACTAATCTAGTTGTGCTCTAAAGATTTCTTTGCCTGATAGAGCGAAACTGTATTTATTCCCTCTGATAGCTAAAAAGATCTCATAGCATACTCAAGTGATGTAAATATATTTAAAATAAAACACATATTTTATTGTCTCTAGAAAAATAGGTTTGGTCCTATGTTCCTCAAGTACATTTTTTAAAGTATTTTAAGCTTGCTACAGTTTCCCATATCTCATTTTTTAGAAGTCTAAATCACTATTTTTGTATGAAAACGCCCCAGTTATATACAAATAGTAGGCTAATCACTCTAGTGAACGTCTGGCAGAAACAACTGTTACCTTGTGTGGAATAGCACAAATAATGAATATGATTCTTAGCTCTATACAGTAAATCTGACTTCAGCGTGGACAACTGATTTCTGCGGCTGCCATGTCACTGAACACTTTTTTAGTTCGCATCTAATACAAATTCCAGTCATAAACAGAAAAGTAGTTATGAAGTGGATAACCTTTATTTTAGATCTTTAATTGAAGAATGGCTGCAAAGACATTTGCTATATTTGAATCATCTCAGTTAATTAAGCTATATATACAGACCTCCAGATTGAGAATTATAAACCTGATGATCCATTTCAGCCAGTAAATATTTCACTAGAATGATTGTTATTCCATTGTAATTACCTGGGAAGTTCAGTATTCCGAAACATTAATTCAAAGGTTTACAATCCCTTTGACAAAAGTTATAGTAGTAGTAGTAGTAATAATAATATAAAATATGGTCTTCATTTGATATCACCTGGCTCAGGCATTTTTTAGGTGCAAGGCTGCATCATAGTAAACATTTTAGTGTTTTGTAGACTTTAAGGAGCATTGGTTAATGGAAGTATGAGAAAAATGTGTTCATATTAAACCAATATACAGAAAAAAAACACATTTTTCAACTTATAGTATAATAGTATAAACCATCTAACCATCCACCATGAGTTAGGTAATTTAACCATGACTTTCATAAAGCCCCAAAGAGATTGGATCAGAGGATTTAACTAGCATTGCAATCAGTGATACTGTCAGCAATACTCATTGCGTTTGTGAATTAAAGCTAATAGGTTGTATATTAATCAGAAAACAACAAAAAAACAATCTGAAAGAATTAGCTGAATAAGGGGTATGAAGTTAAATCTTCCAACGCCACTTCTTAGGATAGAATCAGTGAGAAACTATTTGTAGTTATGAAAATAAAGGTAAATTATGCTGTATAAGGAACATTTTCCATTGAGCATTACTCACTTAAAAACTAACTTGAAAAATATTTCCTGCTTCTTTTATGCTGTTCCAGTTATTTCTTTTTCCTCTCAGGAAATTTCCCTTTGGACTTGCTCTAATTCGGGGCTGCTAGTGTTAAACCTACGGCCTGCATTACTGATTAGAAACCTGGTATGGGAGGAGTCCCACAAGAAACAAAACCAGGGTCACTCCCTTTTCCTGACTGTGATTAATGACCCTGGAACACCTACTCCACCAGCAACCTGTGAGATAGGAAAGAAATTACCTTTTGAAACCATTCATGGATCAGGTTGTGTTGACTCTTGCAGAGGAGTACAAACACAGTAGCTGACGTGCAGAAAAGAAACAGAAGAAAACATGCTACATTTTGAAGAAAACAGAAATTTTATCGACCCAGAAATGATAGTGGTTGTTCCATTTTATTGTTTCCATTTAAATTGAGCAGTATGTGAGAGAGTAGTTGCTTGACGTCAGAGTCATATTCTGTAAGCTGAAGGCACTTGAACCAGTGCCTGAGCAGAACCAGGGCTTAACGTAAAGGGAGGTTATTAGCCTCTTCCCGCCAAGCGAGAATAAGGTAAAAAGGTTAGTAAGGGGAGTTTTTTAATACAGTTCCAAATTTATTATTTTAAATGTTTGCAAGTGACAGATATCATTTGGAATGGAAACAAACTTTGTAAAATGTGTTATTTGCAAAGCAACATCTGTTGTTTTTTGAGACCGTTTCAATTAATCCATTATTTTTTCAGTGAATATGATCAGGAGGCATAGACAGTGATGTTTATTTTACATTGTGTGTGGTAGTTGCTACAATGTATGCTGAACTTCATCAGGGATTTTCACATAATAATTTAATTAATTTATATTGCTAAGATTATACAGTATACAAATCATGTTGTTGCTCTAGAAGTCAATGTACAATAGCATTCAACTTAATTGTATTACAAGCATTGGTAAACAGTACACCTTTGTAATTATTTTTAGTTCCTATTGTAGTTACATAATAAGCCTATCATTGGTTATTTATTGTGGATTGTGCAGAGAAAATAAAGTAACATTTATTCCATGGTGTAAAGAGAAGATTGAAAACAATGTTTCGGATGTGAAGCCTTCTTCAGGTGTGTGTGCACCTCTCTCTTCTCTCTTCTCTTTTCAGTATGAAATAAACCTATTACTTGTTCCATATCCTATGAAGTGTTGTTAGACAAGTACATTTATGTAACATCATATCTTTAAAAATTACATTTTATTCTTTGTCTTCTACGTACTTTAAAGTGTTTTTTTTTTAAATTCTATTTCAGATATTTTAAAGATGTTTTTTTTTAAAAAACTGTTAAAAAACTTAACAGTTTAGATGTATGTTTCCCAGAACACTAAGATGCCATTTAAACACTGAGTGCAGAAGTATTCAGCAGACACTTTGGACAAACAAAAAGTTGGTGCTCGTGCTTTGCTTTCATGACAGATGATTCAGTAATATATAGATATATTTCGGGGTGTTCTTGGAATTGAGAACAAACACAGAAAGCCATTGCCTCAGTACCTAACTCATCATCAGTAGATCACAAACAAGTGACTCAAGTCTCTTCCAGCATAATGACTAGGATAACTTATTTGGGCATTCAGAGTCAAAGAACTAGGGTTTCACTCTATAGTCTAGGCCGAGGACAGTTTGAAGCATCATTATATTTTCTGAAGTGGCAATGTACAAGCTGAACACTTGTGTATTATCTTTTGAAAATTCAGGGAGAATTTAATAGCACATGAATCTTTGCTAAGGAATGTCCATGGTCACTGATGTAGTATGTGAGGTATTGCATCTTTTCTCACACTCAAAGGAGTGCTTTTTGGAACACTACAGAAATGTCCACCAGAATAATAGACCACAGCATGATGTTTGCCAGTAAAAGTTGAAAGGGACTTTCGTTGTCATTGACAAAATGCAAGGCACTTTAAAGACTAAGTTCAATTCAATTTGTTCTTTTAGGATTCTTCAGTTTCGAAGACCATTGAAGTTTATGGAGCTCACACAGAAAGTCACAGATGCCTTTGGACAACAGATGGATTTGTACTACCCTGATAAAGAGGTGCTATTTCCTGTGCCAGACTGTTTGGAATCATCTTCTGATACTAGAATTTAAAAAGGTTAAATTGAGACTACACAAAATGATCAGAAAATCTTAGCTGCCATTTACTGTTTATTTGCCGTTATTGTTAGGATTTTTAGGATTTATTAAGATGTTCAGATTTTTAAAAGATGATCTTCTTATGTAATTCCCAGTAACAATTATTAACCGCATAGCTTAGTGTCTCTTGTATTAATTCCTTTACAGAATGTTTGTAGTAGAAACTGTAATCTGTTTTCCTCATATTTAGGGTCCTAGGATTCTACCATTGGTGTTACACTATTGGTTCTTAAAGAAGAAGCAACATGGAATGATTTAAAGCTCCAAAGTATCTAGTTGGTTACAAATGAGAAAGTTTGTTAGGGTGATACAAATGTTTCCCTCTGCCCTGGAACTCTGCTGTGTGAAAAGACTCTTATATTAATGAAAAAACATGCAGCATTTTGGCAAGTTCCATTGCTCATTTATAAAACTTCAAATTCGATTTCAGCTTCTCCTTCTGCTGAAATGCCAGGAGGATTTAGACAAGGCTATGCTGTGCTTGGACCGTAGCCCGTCAATGAAGAGCTTGAGAGTATTAGTCAAGACTCCAAAAAACCATGTGAGTCATCTTTATGGCAGGGATTCCAGCTGGGATTTGTTTCAAGCTTAAGAGAGAGATTTTCAAAGCACAAACAAAAAGAGGGTTTCCTGAATTCAATCAAAAAGCATCCTGATCTGGTGTCTGTTAATTCTAGCATTTGACTTAAAAAGTTTTTGATGTGATGTTGTATCATACTTTTTTTTAGATAATTTCCTATTTTTAATGAGTGATGAAACTAAAAATATAAAAATGCAGTCCAATTAAAGTGATTTTGGCTATTCAGGAGCTATTTTTATCACTGATATTGTAACAGTTTTAAAAATCTGGGATACTTTGCATTTATTGAAAAGATTGTTTTGTGGTGCAGATATGTGCTAGCCCTACTCGATCCCACTCAAAATAATAATTCTAGATGATCTTTATTTGAGTTTTGCAACATGAACTTTTTTTAATTAAGAAAATGGAATATTAAGTAGGACTGTATTTTTGTGCTTTGGTTAATTAGCATATTATTCAGTACTGTATTTTAGAAATCAGTTTTAGGATGTTCTGTATGGAAAATAGTTTTAAAAATCCTCATGAAAATAATGCTTTTGATTACAGAATGTCACATGGGTGGCATACATCAGACTTTTGCCAAAATGTTGCTTCATATTGGAAACTGACCAACCGGTTTAAAAAGAGCCAGACTTTCACAGCAATGCCCACAGCAGGCTCCACTGTGTGGATTCATGTTCTGTAGACTTGACTTCTGTTGCTTTCTTTCCATGTTTATAAAACTAGTATTTAAAACTCTGTTCTCCTCTCTCTAATTGTAGTTTTTACAGGTTAATAGCAAAGCAGACAAACAGTCAGAGATGAGAATGTCCAAGTCCATGGGAGACCTGAAAGGTTCTCCATACAAAAGCTCGGAGAGAGTGCGCAAACACTCCACAGGTGAGCCTCAGCCTCCAGCCTCTTCACACCCAACCCAGACTGGCTCAGATATTTTCTGTGAGGGTATCCCCCTTCCCTTTCTTTCTGCCCCCTTTCTGTTCATTCTTTTCTGTTGTCATGCATGTGAAACATCCATTTTTGTGCCTGCTTCATCTTGGCAGTAGTTGTCCTCCAATTACAAGCATATTTGTAGCTAAATCCTAATTATGCATTAGCCAGACTTGCTCAGTTACATAATTTGATTTGATTAGTTGAAGTGACATCATTAACCAGATTAGATGGGGATTAATGGGTTACCCTGAGGTTCACTTACATTTGGTTTTCTGTAACAATCCAATATATAGCCATCTGTAATGGTAAATGGTCATTTACCAGCAATTTAAGATTTAATTTCAAATTAAGCATCACCCTTGCTGGTTCAATCTTTCAAGTCAGATGGTCAATGATCATAGTGTACCAGCTCTTTTAAACACAAGACAAAGACTGCTTTCTTGTTTTTGCACATTTGTCTTGTATGTCTGTAATCAAGCACATGTACAGTAAGTTCTGTACTTTCAACTGAGTGAAAACCTCACAATTTCACTTTACGCATTAAGCTATGCTAGGTCGTTTGAGATCTCTGAACCCATCATTCAAAGCCTGCTTATAATGTTATGTTAAAAATCTGTTCTTACCTGTACTGTTTCTTTGGCTGTAGTGTTGAGGTCAAAAGTATGTAACTAGTATGTGCCTGAGGTTAGGCAACTTTGCTCATTAGAAGTCATTTCAGATATGTAATTCTCACTTGGCATAGATACTCATTTATATGTGGGCAGGATTTCTTCTTAACAAGAAGGTTATTGAGATTTAATTATTGAATACAAATTGATTTCAGCCTAAAATCATATTTAGCCTCTATTCTCCAAGGTCCTGTTGTTGTGTTGGTAAGATAACTCATCACGAGTGCTAGTAATGCCGTACTTATTGCACATTATTCTGATTTTCTGTTGATTCTTGGGTGACTTGAGACATTTCATCAAAGTTTTTAAAGTCCCACCTGAGTTATAAAAGAAACTGAAATTCAGAATGCAAACAAAAAGCAACTTAATTATTTGAAGAATATCCAAATGTATGAAATTGTAATTTGATTCTTCTGGCTGTACCTATTCAAGCTTATATATTGAATATAAGCTTTTTTTTCTTTTGTGTGCTTTCATGAACAATTATCACAAAAAAGTCATTACACAAATTCTGATGATTGGTTCAAAAAACAAGAAAATATTCCCGTAAGAAAACTAAATAGATACTTTTAGCATCTTTTTGATGAGAGACAGGGTATTACCTCAGTAAACTGTTTATCAGCAGAAAGTACACCACTTGGGGACTTCAGGGCTTACAGACACATCCCTCTTTTGTTTCTACTTCTAAAAAGTGTACCTATTACCAAAGGTTTCATTTTGCTCCAGTTGAATGTTGCCTTTTCCTGGCCTTATGCTGATAACATTATATACACAAAACATTGGAATATAGTCCATCTTCCAATCACAAAGAGTGTTACTGTTTATGGGCATGTTGGCAGACTGCCACGTTTAGCAGAAGGGGGCGTCCTCATTAGTTTTCCCATAAAATTTCCTTACTGAGAGAGACTGTGCTGAACTGGAATCTTAATCTTAGTTAAGAAAGCTGGAGAGAGAGTTTTGATTAGGAGGTACATCAGACTGGGATCTCTAGAGAGAGATGTTACAATAAAGCAAAACAGCCTTACTATGTGGTTAAAAATAAGTTTGTAATTAAACAAGCTCGAGAGAGTATTAAAGCAAAATTAAGACTGGAAAAAATAATTTATTATGGAACACATAAATATGTGTGAAAATAATTCCTTGCCTGTGACCAGTGACGTTCTAGAAGTCTAATGCATACAGATAGGAACACATAAATAGTCTTTCTTAAAAAAAGTGTCATGTACTGTATAAAGAATATCCGTGTCCAGTGATTGCTGGTCGCAGCTATGTTTTTTTTTTATTGATTAGGAGGTACATCAGACAAGGGTCTCTGGAGAGCTATGTTACAGTAGAGCAAAACATCAATTACTGTGTGAATAAAATTAGTTTAAAATGAAACAAGCACAAGAGAGTGTTCTTAAGCAAAATAACATTAGAAAGGAATGCCTTTAAATTTGAAAATGTAGGATAATTCTAAAAGTATCTAGTAAGGACAAAAAGATTGTAGAGAGAAAGACTACAGCTGTAACTTACCCTGCCCTGTGGTCTAGAGATGGGTTGTTATGTAACAGCAGGGGTTAAATTTAGTGTATGGTAAAATGCACAAAGTAAAACTAAAAGAGATATTCAAATTTTTAGGATAAAAGAAAAGCGAAGCTATTCAAATCTAACATCAATAATAAAAGGTTTTTACTACAAAAGCAAAAGAACTGTAAAGGATGAAACAAAATATATCTGGTATAACAATGGATAACTTCTAGACAATTAAAAGGAAGTGGCTGATGTACCAAATGGGTATTTCACTCAGGTGTGCACTAGGGAAAAATTCAAAAGTATGCCTCAGGCAGAGGAAGGGCAAAGTTCTCTTAAATAATACAGCAAGTGGTTTCATTCCTCGAGCATAGCACGTTGTTGAAATGTGCGAGGTTATGGAAAATTAGGAATAGTGGAACACAGGTGCCCAAAGTCCCATATAAGCATTGTAGTCCCTTCCTTTTTGCACGTTATTTACAGTCTAATTTCAATTTTAATCTAATTCGAATATGAAGAAAAAATAAATTCAAAGTATGTATATCTTATAACAGTGTTATGTAATAACACTAAAGTAAGCATACACAATTTGTTAAGGGACAAGTAATAGGTTTATTCCATGCTGAAAAAAAGAAGAAAGAAAACACGTTTCGGCCGTGGAGCCTTCTTCAGGTGTGATCAATAACACAATTTGTTATTCACCTTGCCAAACACTCTGACAAAAAATATCTAACAAGCCATACCATAACATGAAAATAAAAGGGGAAGAAGACAAGCTTAATCATAGAATAATCATGAATAATAAATGCTCTTACTCATAAGAAATAAAATGTATGTCACATACAGTGCCTTTAGAAAGTATTCGGACCCCTCCACTTTTTGTACAGTTTGTTGTGTTGTAGACTTATTTGAAAATGTATTGAATTGATTCTTTTTTGCCATCGATGGACACACAATACCCCATAATGACAAAGTGAAAACACATTTGTAGGAATTTTTGCAAATTTATTTAAAAAATAAAAAACTGAAATCTCCCATTTACATAAGTGTTCAGACCCTTTACTATGACACTCCAAATGGAGCTAAGATGCATCCTTTTTCTTTTGATTATTTTTTAGATGTCTCTAGAACTTGATTGTAGTCAACCTGTGGCAAATTCACTTGATTGGGCATGATATAGAAAGACACACACCTGTCTTTATAAGGTCCGACAGTTCACAGTGCATGGAAAAGTAAAAAACTAAGCCATGAGGTCCAAGAAACTGTCCGTAGACCTCTGAGTCTTTTTGTCAATGCATAGATCTGAAAAAGGGTATACAAAAATTGGCTATGCATTGAAAGTTCACAGGAGCACAGTGGCCTCCATCATTGTCAAATGGAATAAGTTTGGAACCACCAAGACTCTTTCTAGAGCTGGCCTTCTGGCCAAATTGGTTATTTGGGCAAGAAGGGCCTTGGTCTGGGAGGTGACCAAGAACCCAATGGTCACTCTAACAGAGCTTCAGAGTTCCTGTGTAAAATTGGTAGAACCTGCCAGAAAGACAACCATCTCTGTAGCACTCCATCAGTCAGGTCTCTATGGTAGAGTGGCTAGACTGAAGCCACTCCTGACTAAAAGGCATATGACAGCCCGCCTGGAGTTGGCCAAATGGTACTTAAAGCATGAGGAAACTCAGAGCATGAGGAAAAAGATACTCTGCTCTGATGAGACAAAAATTGAAAGTCATGTCTGGTGAAAACTAAGTACTGCTCATCACCTGGCTAATATCATCCCTACGGTGAAGTATGGTGGTGGTAACATCATGCTGTGGGGATGCTTCTCAGCGGCAGGGACTTGGAAACCAGTCGAGATTAAAGGAAAGATGAACAGACCCAAGTACAGAGAGGTCCTTGAAGAAAGCCTGCTCCAGAACACACACAACATTGGACTAGGGGAAGATACACCTTTCAATAATCCAAAGCACACAGCCAAGACAATGCTGTAGTGACTTCAGAACAAGTCTCTGAATGTCCTTGAGTGGGCCAGCCAAAGCCCGGACTTGAACCCCATAGAAAATCAGGTGGAGAGACCTGAAGATTGCAGTTCAACAACGCTCCCCATCCAATCTGACAAAGCTTGAGAGGATCTGCAGGGAATACTTATGTGAATTGGAGATTTCAGTTTTTTATTTTTAATAAATTTGCCAAAATTCCTAAAAAGGGTTTTTCACTTTGTCATTATGGGGTTTTGTGTGTCGATTGATGGCAAAAAAAGAATCAATTCAATCCATTTTGAAATAAGTCTACAACACAATAAATTTTGGAAAACGTGGGGGGGTCTGAATACTTTCTGAAGCCACTATATTTTGTCTGCTCTTTGACTGGGTAAGTGAAACCCTCTCTCTTGCTAAGTTGCTTTCCTAGAAAAAAGGAGGTCACGTTTGGCCTTTATGCCTATGAAAAATTAAAGATGAACAAAAGATAGCATACTTGGTCTCCCTTTGCCTCACTGACACCTGCCATATTTTCGATCAGTACAGTGAATGTGCTAAAGCTGTTTTACATTTTTTTGTGAATTATTTGATATTGCTCATTTGTATTTGCAAATGGTGATTTTGGGAACTTGCTGAAAATGTCTTCTTGCTAGTTTGGAGATCCTCGTGCATGGGATATAATATCCATGTTTTGGTAGTGAAAATATTTTTGACACTCTAGTTAATACAGTATTGCAATCGCTCAAGTGAGCTGTACTGTAAGCAGTATGAATTTCCAGCTTCCCTGAAGGCTACTGGTATGATGAATGGGTTGTAATTGGTGGCTTTTGCAATAAGCCTTCTGTCCCCCAGAGTCTGTAATTGTGCAAGTCTGGTGAATTTGCAGCTTACCGTGTGCCCACATGTTTTAAAGCACACATTAAAGCCCCCAGTAACAGTCACAAGCAGTTTCAGTGATTGATAAAATTGTGCAGTCATTCACTGATGTCAAGCGGGGAAACGCTTCAGTGGAAATGCTCTGTTTTTGCATTAGCTACACTTGGTGAGCACTCATGAAGAGCTTTAATATTTAAATGCGGTCCCTGCACATAATATGTTGGATCTCCAGAAGGCAGTTTTTTTAGTTTTCTTTAAGGTCAATCAGTTTTGATTATTAATAAGTAAAAGCACAGATGCAGTGTATAAGTAATGGAGTGGCTGGTTCCCTGTTCTTATTCTTTGGATTATTTTTTTCTGCCTTTATTTTTAAGTATCTCAAGTCCAGATCCCTGAATAAACACTTTTTACATTTGGCAAGATTATAAAGGTCCATTGGAAGTTGTGTCAGAGTGAAAGTTAAGCCCACATGTTACATAGTTTGGCTGCCACATTTTCCATAGAAATTGAGGAATTTTTAAATGTATTTCTTCTGCGCAACAAAACATCTTAAATAAGATATAAGGGGAAACTTCAACTTTACTGAATCTTGAAGACATGATTATTATGGGGCATATAGGAAACCATATGTAGCCTGTCACAAAGTGTCCTTATCTGTGATATTTTGCAAAACATGCTTAGAGGGTACTGCTAGAGATATGGTCAGTATGTAACATAAATAGTATTGGATGTCCACCCAGATATAAAAAAATGAGCTTGCCCATGACGATTATTCCTAAATGTCAAAAGCAAAATTTCTCTTAACTTCTTTTAAAGTGCACATGTGGTCATAGTTATTATGGAACACATGTAGGAAACAATGTGTCAAAAAATGTTCTTGCCTAAGACCAATGACATCCTAGAAGTCAAATGCATACAATATGGGAACATATAAATAGTCCTTCTTAAAAATGACTTATTATGCTGAAATCCTATATATAGCTTCTTATAATTTTCAAAAAGGGTCGTTGTTTGGGACACGCAAATAAAACTTACATTAAGTACTGTATCAAAAAATGTCCGTGCCCAACGATTGCCAGTCACAGCTGTGTTTTTTGTATTGTAATAATATAGCAAAAGTGAGGAAAGGTATTTGCCCTAGTAGTGTGTGATCGACAGATCAGGCAGGTTCAGACAGGAGGATTAGGGCTTGTAAAGAGAAGGTTGTAGGTTCAGACTCCGGGTGAGGCATTGCTGTTGTTTCATTCAGCAAAGTACTTCACTCAATACTCATAATATATTATTCCGAGCTGTATAAATGGGTACAGCAGTCAGGTATTTTGAATAACCATAATAATATCACTAACATTTTGAGAAGTGTCATGAATAGTGTTCAGGTTCAGCAGTGGCAGAACATGTCGGTGTGTTGCTCAGGAAGGGCTGTGTTCCTTTCCTTATTGCTGCTGTTTTGTGTTCAGGGTCTCTGCAACCTGGGAGGAGCTCCCCTCCACCAGGCAGCGTCCCAGAGGAGCAGCAGCAGATCGCCCGGCAGGGCTCCTACACCAGCATCAACAGTGAGGGAGAGTTCATCCCTGAGATCGTGGAACAGACCGTGAGCATCTCTTCCCCCACTAGGCCACGCCCCCTGTACTCTGCCCTCTTTATTAAGTGTCATTAAATCCCACCCAGGTTTAGAGACACTAAAATCGCTTAGTTTTCTCGTATGGTAATCGGATGATTACAGCTACTGTTTTAAATTAAATTATTTTAATTACCGTTGAAATTGAAATCCATGGGGTAGCCAGATCCTATTCCAGCAAAGCAACACGTGCAAGGCGAGATACGCCCTGGACAGAATGCCAGTCCACCGCAGGGTACACACAGATACAAACACGCACACACTCCCACCAGGGCTGGTCTTTCCAGTCAAGCCAGTTGTTAACCTACCCATATGTCTTTGGACTGTGCGAGGAAACAGGAGAACCCAGTGAAGACCCATGCAAACACAGGGAAAACATACAAACTGCACCCCAGAGACTGAACCCAGGACTCCAGTGCTAACCAATGCCCCACTGTCATGGTTATAATGGGGCACATAGGAAACCATATGCAGTCTGTGGAATAAGTGATGAAATCTAAATAGTGTAATAAGAAATCTAGTTTCTGAAATCCCCTAATCTGTATTTTTCCCCAGTTTTTCACTCAGTCCTGGATTAGAGTTATTTAATCTTTTGCTGTGTTGTGTGCTGATGTAGTGTCGATGTGTGGTATTTTGTCATGTGGCTTATTATAGAAGAAGGTTTAGACATACCAGGACTCTTTAAATATCAATACAGATTCTAAACTGTGTGCAGCACAGACATGGATTCATTCATCCAGCAAGATGAAAGACGAACAAAGAAGAAGGATGTTAGTCAAATTGATACTATGGAAGCAGGCTTTTGTAGGGATTCAGTGTTCACTTAATAGTCTGGTAATTGGGAAAAATAGTGTATAAATTCAAAATCCTGTTTTCAGTATGGAAGCACAATATTGATTTCATTTTTTTACAACAGATCCTGGAACCCTTTGGAAGTGCTGAGGATTCTCTGTCAGACAGCTGTAAGTCATTAGACAGGTGAGTGGCAACCAGCCAGAAAACATGCAAGGAGTTGAGTTATCAGCATCATTCTTGGGCAAATTACTTTATACACTTAAGCTGAAGAAAGACATGTTTTAACCAGATGGCTGCATTCAGCACACAATGCACTGCATATACTTTAAAAAGAAGCCAACCAGGAAGATTGGTAGTGGAGGTGTTAGTGGGGCCAACAGGGGGCACTCACCCTGCAGTCCATGTGGGTCCTAATGCCCCAGTATAGTTACGGGGACACTATACTGTAAACAGGTGCTGTCCTTCGGGTGAGACATAAAACCAAGTTCTTGACTCTCTGTGGTCATTAAAAATCCCAGGGTGTTTTTCGGAAAGAGTAGGGGTGTAACCTTGGCGTCCTGGCCAAATGTCCTATTGGCCCTTACCAATCATGGCCTCCTAATAGTCCCCATCTATGAATTGGCTTCATTACTCTGCTCTCCTCCCCACTGATAGCTGGTGTGTGGTGACAAGTGTTATGTGTTGGAGTGAGAAACTCTTTCATCGGTTGAATTCAGGGGGGACTTTAGGGATGCCAGACCGTTAAAGCTCCAAGTGAAGTTTAGCCAATTATCATAGTGCTATGGTATCTTTCATAACCAAGTAATCAGTACTGTGGTTTAGAAATTCTCATCCAAGCAATGGTACTCCATGTTGTAGTGTCATCATACTAGGCCACCATGTTGGTTTGGCAATTCTGGTTCAGTAGGAAATAGTAGTCTTTTTGTCCATCCCATTACTGCCCAGACCTAGCTTTGCTTATTTTCTGAGATCTGACCAGATCAGACCCAAAGGTGATAGTGTCGCATAGCCCATTCACTCTGAAACTGCAGTACCTAGGGTAATCATTATCTTAGCCTCGAAACAATGAACAATTAAAGGAAGTGGCTACATAGAAACTTCTAATGTGAACTTGGATAGCTGTTATCTTGGTTTTAATGTCCCTTTGTTATCATGATCTTGAATTATGATGTAAATTTATTGCAGATGAAACGAGAGGACTTAGTGCTTGAAGTGTTACTTCATAAGAGGTCAGCATAAAGTAACAATGTATAATTTGATCCTCTAATTTCTGAGATTGCAGAGGATGGAACTATCCGAAACTGTACTCTTTTCTCTGTCGATGAGAATTATTTGATATCAAATACATTTATGCAAAAACACAAGTGCAATACAAATTACAAATTGAAATGGACATATTTTTAGGCAAGAGGTTTGTATATAAATGTGGAATTGTTTTATTCTGACAACAAAAAAAATGGAACAGCTTTTTGTTAAACTTTTGAAAGCATTCAAGAGATATTGTGTAATAAAGATTTAGCAATGTGTTATACTGTATGTGAGGACTCAAACACTGGCAAGAAAAATATGCAAGCTAAAGACAAAAACCTTGAACTCTATCGTTGCAGCCCTCCGTACTCACAGTCGGTGTCCAACAGAGAGAAGAGTTACATGAACCACAGTTATGAATATGCAGGTGGGACATTTGAGTGCTATGAGTAACTATTTTACTTCATAAATCACTTATAGAGATGGAATTTATAATGAAAATTATAAACTCCATTACATTTTTGCTTGCTCTGTCAGCCTGCCTATTTGCTTCATTGTTGTGTTTTGTCTCCTTCTGATAAGATTAATAGTGAGGCAGCCTTTTAAAAAGCCTAAGATTGCCAATTCAATGGCAGAGAGGTTAAATGTTTAGTTAAATTTAAGAGACTTTACCGAACTGTGAATGACAGACATTGCTTAGATTTCATCTTTCTTGGATATCTCTTTTATTCGGTCTCTACTTTTTATAAAACTTCATTTTTTCCCCCATTTCTACAGAAGGGAAGTAAATAACGTCATCTCCCTTAGAAACGGCAACAAAAACAAAAAAAGCAATCATTATACATAACAGCTGCTTTCAATTGCTCTTGGCCTTCTAACACATTCTTTATGTAAAGCTCATGATTGTAGATCAGTGCTGGAGTCGGCAGTGGTCACCCTGCTACTTAGTAATTGCAGATTATTCAAGTGCTGTGCTGGAGATGCAAAAATTACTTTAAACACTGTTTTTCCCTTATAGACCTCCTCTCTGATAACCTTTTTGTACCATCTTTTAGAATTATTTGTGTTTCCCAGTTATAGTTCCTTTTATGAGAAAAGCAAGTGATGAATACAGGCCTACAGAAGGCACTTTTTTACACAAAGGGTGTTGGGAGTCTGGAAGAGAAGTACCTAGCCATGTTGTTGAAGCCAATACCATCATGTCTCTTAAGAACCAGATGTGACAACCACTAAAAAGAAAACAAGCTTCTCTTGTTTACAAAATGTTTTGTATTCTGTGTGTTAGGTTTATACTTACATTGGATATATGTAACAACATTAATACTTTACTGAGAAAAACAAAGTTTAAAAGATATATCTATTGAAATGAATATAGGCATGAGCTACAGCCATTCATGTCCTTTATTTTATAACAGAAATTCCTTTCTAATAGAATGGTTGCACGTACTGTAGGTATTGGATTTGTCTCCTCAAAAACACTTGCTTTAACATTAGACCTAACTGATTGTACTACCCAACTGCTTTCTAATTCTACGTTCTGAATCTTTTGGTAAATTGGGCTCTGTTCTGTTTTGCTCCAGGTAACAGATATGGCAAAGGTGGCACCTTTCCAAGACAGTTTCACCTGCCCCGTCAGCAGAAGGATTACAACGATGGTAAGTGTGACAACGCACAATGACATGGAAGTACAGAGAAGCTTTCAGCATAAAATAAACATATTACAGCACATATTAGTTAATTATTTTTCAAGAAAGGATTTATTCGTTTATTTCAGGATAATTATAAATTCATAAAAGCACAGATTCAGGAGAGATTTTTTTTTAGATGTGAAATATTACAGTAATGGAATGCTAATGCTAATGAAACGTTTTACCATTATATTGCTCATGTTACCCTTTAGTATCCTTTCAAGAAGCAGTGCAGAAGTGAAGAATGTTTCCATATTTGGCTTTTGACCGTCATGAGTGGGTGCAGAGAGATGAACTGTCTGAGAAAAGGGCAAAGCGGCCTGAGGCCTGTGCCATGGTGACTGGAGGACAGTTAGGGACCACGTTGCGTGGCAGCTGTCCCTTGTCTCACCGGTCGCCGTGTGTGCGGTGACGTCTCCCCAGGGCGCAGGACCTTCCCCCGCAGTTTCATGCCCCCGGAGAACCCTTTCCCGCTGGCGTCCTCCAGCAGGACCCGCAGCTTCAATGGGGACAGCGCAGCGTCCACCCTGCAGTACCACGACCTCAGGACCATCACCTGGAGCCCAGACAAGACCGGCCAGATCTCTGCCCCCTCCAAGTGTGAGTCCCCGCCCGCGGGCCATGGCGGCGCTCTTCACACCGGGCAAGCTTTGGGGGTGGCTCCACAGTCTGTTTTCGCCTCCACTTTTAACTAAAATTCAGCTTTTAATTATTCCAGGACTAAGGTATTTTGACATTAAGGAAGAAGTAACATGGTAATACGGCAGTCTTGCAGTTTTACGTGCCCTCAATTTAGGGGGTCTCAACGTTATGCGGGTGGCTCTGGAAAATCAAAAGTATTGTAAAAATGCTTTAGCCTCTGAAAAATTTATCAAGCATGCCTGCCAGAGCTAGTTAGTGAGCCTACATAGTCATCTTATTTACTTTTATTTACTGTTTCTATACTTCTCTTTAATATCTTGAATTACTGTAAGAAGTTAGTAGCACATTAGTTGCAAGTCAGCTGTATAGGCCTTTGGAAACACCAGGTGGTGGGATCAACTTTGTGCCATTGCTTTGGCAGCACTGTTGAAAACTCCTGCATAGAATATTAAGAGGCTTTTGTTTTCTTGAAACTAGTGGAATTAGTTTTAAATACAAAAATATAGTTTCCACAGAACAAGTTAAGCATGTGCTTTGGTTTCTGTAAATCATTCAAGCCAGCAGAAAAAGATCATAATAAGGGTGTTATTGATGTGATTTCATCTAATAATCCCATTTAAAACCCATTTTGCTTTAATTTTTGTAAATGTACTTCAGACATATGTTAGTACAGTTTGGCTTCTAGAGTAGTAAAATGATTGAACAGAGACATAGAAATGCATATACTCACAACTATATGTCATAATAAACCCACTCTAAATCTGTCTATAGTATTTAAGAGAAAAGCATCATTAATTGGTCCAGTCTGTGTTTATCATGAGAAAGCACCAGAATAACCCTCTGTTGGACTGCAGGGGTATTTTTTTAGTTACCAAAAATGGAGTAATGTTCTGCCTTTTTGTGCTCATTCTTTGTTTTGATTTAGCTTGGCTTTAGTAATAATATTGTATTATGTATTGTATATGTATCATATTTTCAATGTGGATATTTAGGAACTGTTGGTTTGTGATTAAAAAATTAAGATCAGTATCAATCATTAGACTTTACCAAAGTAAACTGAGAACAGGAGAAACTTTTTTATAGAAAGGTCTCGATTAGCAAGATGGGACAAATGTCCCCTTTTGTTTGTAAAAATTCTTCTTTCATATCCTAAATTTTGACTTTGTAGTGTAACGATCAAACTGGTTTAATGGCTAGATTAAGGAGAAAATAAGGAAACTGTGAGCAGTTTCAATATTTAAGAGTTGGTCTATGCCTATGAATTCACAGATATTGAATAATGAAACTTTTTTTCAATATTTCATTTCATAACAGTCATACTTGTATCTTAATGTGAATGTGGTACAACATGATTAGTCCTTTAACAGCTGTACTGTGCTTATCCCAATGAAGTCTATAAAAGGGTTGTACTAGATTATTCACTACTGCCAAGTTGCCTGACAAAATACACAGTAGAGTCCTTGAAAAAATTAATCCAAAAATGTGAAAGTTTGCCTTGTGATCTACATGCAGTACTGTCTGAACACAATAACGTGTTGTGTCAGGAAATCTCACAGAGAACTGTACAGCTGGAGATTCTCCATGATTTCTCGCCAGGATTAGCTTGATGAACTCTGTGTTGGTGAGCACAGAACACACCTTTTTAAAGTGGCCACCCAATTACTCTTACCAAGACAGCTATTCCAGATTATACTAGTTATGCGATTGGAATACTGACTAATAGAATAATTAGCTAACTTCAACAGCTAAGAGAATATGAATGATCAATCATGCAGCCTACAGCTAGTCAGTTGCTGCTGGCTGAACATATACAACTAGCGATGGCTACAGTAGATTAGGTCTCACTCATCTAGGCTTGTTTTGATTTGCAGCCCCTCTTGCGCCAGTGAACTGGAGGCTTGGGAAACTCCTGGGTCGGGGAGCATTTGGAGAAGTGTACCTCTGCTATGACGTGGACACAGGGAGAGAGCTGGCAGTCAAACAGGTGCCCTTTGACCCGGAGTGTCAGGATACCAGCAAGGTGAGAAAACTACTGTGGTCATCAACAGCTCAGCTGCACTCCCACTGCTTGCCTGCTCAGTACTAGGATGGGAGACCCCCCCCCAAATAAACCAGGTTGTTTCTGTAAGTAGAGGCAAACAGCAGGCTGGTGAGGTTTCATGCTGATACGTGCAGAGTATTGCATGCAGGTATTAAAACCAAAAGCTATTAATCCAAAATGGAAAATAAATTGAAAATGCTACTTAGAAAAAAGACTTTATGTGTTTGTTGTGTTAAGTGTTAAAGTTAACCCATTTAATATATTTTATATAGTGTGGGGAAGCAATTTAAACTAAATTGGTTACATGGAAAAAGAGAATTTAAATCAAATAAAGTAATGTTGAAATTGTGCACTGCTCTTGTAAAACCTCATTTAGAATGAGTGTGCAGTGTCTACATTTTTGGCCACCACATTATAGAAAATATAGCGGGGATTAGTTCAGCAAAGATTAGTCAGATACATTTTGGGATCTAGGGGAATGCCATTTTCACATTACTGACAGGCTAATAGATCCTTGAATTAGACCTGATCCACACATTTAAAGTTCTCAACAAACGGTCAAACCAGTGAACTAAAAAAAAATCAACAATAAAAAACACAAACCAGAGGACACAAGTTGTCACTACTTGTGATCTGGAGGTATTCTTTATGCAAGGGGTTGTTGAGGCTGATACCTTGGCTTCTTTCAAGAAATATATAAGATCACTTTATTGGCCATATACAATTTCTTGTATTAGGAATTTGTCTTTTCTCATACCCCAACTTGCTCTCCATGAGACCCACAGACATACAAACACAGACAGGGAGAGAAGCTTGGGGTCAGAGCGCAGGGTCAGCCATTTATACAGCGCCTCTGGAGCAGTTGGGGTTAAGGGCCTTGCTCAGGGGCCCAACAGAGTAGGATTCCTCTGCCGGCCGCAGGATACAAACCGGTAACTTTCCAGCCACAGGCACAGTTCTTTAGCCACAGAGCCACCGTCACCGCCCCTTGATATGGAAATGGATGCAAACTTATGTGTTGATGGACCAGTAGGTGGTACTCCTCACTCTGGATAAGCATTTCCAGTCCAGTGCCCCAGGCTGGTCATCTGAGAAATGGTTGCCGAATAAGGCTCCATCCTTAAGAGTGGATGTGAACCTGAGATTCTGACTGCTAGATCTGCCAGTGTCCTGGGTAAATATCACTGTATAATAAGGCCTCTGTGCATTTCCCTTTATATACATTGTTGAAGTAAATTTGCACTTGTTCACCAGCTCTGTAGTGGGGCTGCTGGCATTTCATCCAGGTGCACTTAATTGTAGTGCAGAAGCAATTAGTCATTTGGCAGTTTTTTATTGCCAAGCAGCACTACCTGTCTTAATGTTATTGATGAAAGTTATGGCTGTGGCAGTGATTAATGTTTTGCTATTGATCATAGTTTAAAAAAAATAGATTGAATTGATCAACAGACAGCATGAAGGAGTAAAAAACAACATCACAATACAAGTTGTGCTGTGCATGACAGAGTGAAACTGTTGGAACTTTACTAAAGCAATTCAACAGTAACAAATTATTGCAGTTTCTGCTGACAGCGCTTGAAATAATAGGTTAATTTTCACACGATAAGGAATTCACTAAACTAGAAACTAGTAGGGAAGCTCTTTACTTGCACAGAACTCTTTTGGCTTAAAATTGTTACAGTGGAAAACTCCAGTGTTCACTCTCAGTAGTGATCAAGCTACATACTGACGTATTGAGCCTACATGGTAGTAACATTAAAACCCTCTTATCTACTACTTGGTCATGTTCTTCATGATAGCTCTTATGCTTTCCTTCTAATGTCCAGGCTAAATGGAGCTGGTTGTAAATATGTGCATAACATTTGTCTGTGCTGTGTAAAACTGAAATTTTAATACTGTATATTCTCATATTATGTGCTAACACTCAAAGATACAGAAGATAAAAATCTTCTCACAGGGCTAGATGGCTGTTAGCTGTGTTGTATTTTCCCTGAATGTATACTTTGTGCAACATCAAGAAAATAGTATTATATGCAATAACAAAATACAGTACATGCACTTTGTTGGAAAGGACAGAATCAACAGAGATAACTGATCTTGCATATGTGCTGTTATTGATGTCTACACTTTCAAAAAACCTCTATACTTGAAAAAGATTGTAAAATGTTTTATGAATGATAGAAGTCTCATTCTCTCATTGTGTTTTAGTACATATTAGCTGTGGCACAACACATTCTGAAATTTTGGTTTATTAAGTAAGACATACATTTCCATATTCAGTACGTACAGCACTATTCTAGGGATATTGAAGCCTTAGTAAAAATGGTTTGATGGGAAACTAGTTGTCATTTTTCTGTCCAGGAAGTGAATGCCTTGGAGTGTGAGATTCAATTGCTAAAGAACCTTCGCCATGACAGGATTGTGCAGTATTATGGCTGCTTGCGAGACCCGGAGGAAAGAAAACTGTCCATTTTTGTTGAATTCATGGCAGGGGTGAGTGTCCTTCTCATTGTGGTCTGTCTATAGAATGCTGAACGGAACTCAGTTCCATAGCATTAGAACATAGTTTGACCACTATTTTGTTTTCACTGCACTGGCTTAACATGCTGCTATGCTGCTGACCTTTTCCAATTAACTGTTTAATGAAAAGGGTATTACAAATGCCAAGTTATGTTTTAAAAAATGCCCTGTTCCAGGTCACAGTCTGCAGATGGACTACGACCAGTGTACTGAATGACATCTCATTAGCTTACTAAAGGAGTTGAAAATCAAGCATCCGCCAAAGATAAATCATAGTTATTCCTGTCCTTATATCTGCCAAATTGGACTAAACTGCATGTTAATAGGTTAAAGAGGATTTGCCCTACACAATGGTGTTTTTTTAAAAAGGCAAGCGGATATAACATTGTATGAGGAATAGCAGTAGATTCATAATTTGAGTGTGACTGCTTGATTCTCTTTGATATGCATTGTTTAAAAAATCGGGAATGTTTATATTGTAGGAATATTTCTGGCAATGTTACCAGTGGCCTGGGCCAGCCATGTCATTTTCCATTTCCCCCGCACCTCCTTGACCAGTAAACAGTGTGATGAGAGTGTGCTTCACACTGCTGTAAAACACTGATAAGATTTACGCCTTTGAGATTGTGGAGTGGATCGGGTTACAGCTGGAGACGCTTTAGATAAGAAGAACTAAAGAGGTGCTAATCCCAGTTTAACACAAGAGAAAATGAAAAAGATGTTGAGCTCTGCTTTTGAAAAAGTATTTACAAAGATAATGAAGATACTATTTAGCTTTTTGGTGAGTGAGAGTATGTGGTGGAGGTGTGTTTTGACATTGTAAAGTTGTTTTTACACAGGACAGCGGAAAAAAGGGAAGTTGGCAAGGATGCACAGCTCTACATCTTTAGTCTTAAGATGCCAGTAAATTTAGTGGAAGCAATGAGTAAACATAACACCTCACTTTAATAACATTAAGGGTCAGTAGTGTGTAGAAACTGAAGAAAACGCAGCAAAAAATCTGGCTATAGGATGTACTTAGGCACAGGACGCAACACTTTATGGCTGTAAGATATCTGCAAATAAAAACATTACATTGAATGGGAATGGATTATTCTCAGAGAATTTGCAAGTATTATTCTGAAACGTGACATCAGTTACACTCCTAGGTTGAAAATGTGCGTGTAGGCAGACAGTTTTTCTTATATTACTGATGACCTGATCCATCTGTAAACATGGGACAAGCAATGTGGACACTTGGCATCTCTAATCAAGTGGATCAAGATCCTAATTGTTAGTTCTGTAGATCTGGCCAATACTGATGCAAACTCCCTCTGGGCAATACTTATTAATATGTGGTAAAACTATACCTCCACAGTGGTCAGGAATAATGTGCATGTTATATCTGGTGGTGCGGCCTTAAAAAAGGATTTCACAGATATCAATCAAGAAGGACCATTGCAAGAGCCTTTCTTCATAAGACGCCACGCCCTTGAATAGCCATCACAGAAAATGGAAACCAAAATGTGCTTGAAAATATGGTCTCTGCTTGTTCTCGTGCACATTACATTTTGTTGAACAAGAACATAATTTTGGGCTGTGATGTTGCAAATTCCAAATTGCCCTTTTTTGCGGATTATTCAGCAAATATACTGTTAAAACGAGACAGTAAATATTATTTTTTCTCTGATTTGTGTCTGTGTTGGTGTTGTTCACCAGGGTTCAATAAAGGACCAGTTGAAAGCCTACGGAGCTCTGACAGAGAATGTAACCCGTAAATATACTAGGCAGATCCTTCAGGGAGTCTTCTACCTTCACAGCAACATGATTGTACACAGGGACATTAAAGGTAAATTATTGTCTCCTTGCAGTTGGCATAAGTCCTTCGGTATTACAAATGAAAATATTTCTGCTCAAAAGAGTTAGAAAAAAACAGATGAAAGTTATGGTTTTAATTAACATAATGAATATTTAATAAGATTAATCCATCATAATATTGAATTCACACTTATAATGCTTACTTTTATACCATGTTTAGTAAAAGGCAAATCAAGACAGCTGAATTCACAATTCCACCTAAATTCCATGTCTAAAGCAGCACTTTCAAAAGGACTGGTTTGGCATTTCTTATTGTCAGACAAAATAGCCTGCCAGAAACCACTCTGACTTCATCCTAGAGGAAGGAACAGTCAGAAAGCCATAGCTTGATAACTGTGGAAGTACAGTGCATGGAGTGAGCAGTTTCCTGTTACAAACCGGAACAAACTGGAACTCCAAGCAGCTAGTGTGGTTTCTTTATCATTTCAAATCCTAAAGCACATATTAAACATTACTATAAGTCAAACTTTTAGAGATTTGCTGATCAATCTTACTTTAAATGAATCGTTAAGAGCTATAAGAAAACTTTCTTGAGGTATGATTAGAGTAGATTCACTGATATTATGCAGTGGAACAACTTTTCTTTTCTGGATATGGAATACTGGTGGGTAGGATGAATTAGTCACTACTCAAATAACCACAAAGCTGCAATCAGGCCTGTCTAGGATTGTTCCTCTGGAAAAACACAGTGCTGGGTGGAGACACAAGTAATTAAAATGTATCAGGCTGTGAACTTGTAAAAATCTGCAACATTTTACAAGTAATATTTTTCTGTTATTCTTTTGGTTAGACTATTGCAGTGTGGTTAAATTAAGAAGCAAATGAGATACTGGACTTAAATGAAGTTCAGAGCACTTCAGCCTTCAGAAAAGCTTGTTTTTTTTAGGAATTGCTCTTTCATTTTATTTTTATGTTTGATGTTGTTTTCCAGGGGCTAACATTTTAAGAGATTCTTCTGGGAATGTGAAGCTGGGTGACTTTGGTGCAAGCAAGCGAATACAGACAATCTGTATGTCAGGCACTGGAATCAAATCGGTGACTGGGACACCTTACTGGATGAGCCCAGAAGTTATCAGCGGAGAAGGTTATGGCAGGAAAGCTGATGTTTGGTAAAGAGCTTGTTTTTAATGCTGCTATTTCTGTAGGCGTTTTTAATGTCTTTATTTCACTGTTGATCAGGCCTGTTTAAACAATTCAGAGGTCTGTATATTTTACTGTCTCATATATTTTTAATCCCTATAGCATTTTTCAACCAGTGTTATGTTTAATACTCTGTGTAATTATTTTTTATTTAAAGCAACAATAACTAATTTAATTTGATTTAATTCTTAGTTATGCAGATGCCTGTTAATAGAAATGTTAAAATGGCCTTACCACTAACTTGGATGGATAAATCTTAATACAATTTAATTTTTAAAAGTATTTTTAAATTGCTAGATGAACTCAATGTCCTCATCTCCCCTGTAGCCTTTCTGCTGTTCAGCAATCGCTACACTTCTCTGATTTAATGTCCCTGTAGACATCAACAAGCAGACAAGCAGTGATATTTTACATGCTACGGGTAGTAAGTCTGGGGGCAATAAATACTGTACATTCACTAGCAGTATTTTAAACAGATCAGGTCAGCTAAATAGCTGAGGGAAATAAAACTAACAGAATCTTGATTAATGAGGAAAGTGATCTGCAATAGTATTGGTTTGTATCTATAATAGTATAGCAATACTAACTTGTTTAGCAATGGAAATTCTGTGGTGTCTGTCGAGAGTGGGATAACATGATTTGGGTTTTTCCAATTCTGACTTTTCAAATGCTTACAAATGATCTTAGATGCACTTCATAATTTTGGAATGGTAGAGCCCAGTAATTTGGATCCAACTTATTTCTAGTCAGTCACCACATCCTTATAGCTAAGACTACACCATTCTCAGCCCATTTCACACTCCTGTCCCCCTCATCGTTTCCATCTAAGCATTCTTCAAACATAATCTGATGGGGCAAGCTTTCTTAATATCTGTCTCAACTGAGAAAGACTGTTGTACAGATCCCCCCCAGTACAGGAGTTTGTTTGTGCTAGCTGTGATGATCAGTATCACTGCTAGTATTTTTAATTCATTTTCTGACTAGTTAACAGAAAACGCAGAATGGCAATGTGGGAGTGTTCTCTCCCTTGAAATGAAATGTTAGTCACAGTGAGAGCCTGATACCTTGTCTGTTCCTGGTAGCAGCCAGAAACCTATTGTCAGCTGATCCTTGTGTCTGTCTGATGTGACAGGAGCGTGGCTTGCACTGTGGTGGAAATGCTGACTCAGAAGCCGCCCTGGGCAGAGTATGAAGCCATGGCTGCCATCTTCAAAATTGCCACCCAGCCAACCAAGCCGGCGCTGCCCGACGGCGTGTCGGACTCCTGCAGGGACTTCCTCAGGCAGGTGTTTGTCGAGGAGAAGCGGCGCCCCACAGCCGAGGAGCTGCTGAGCCACCCGTTCGTGCAGGGCAGCTTCTAGAGCAGCCTCCAGTGGCAGATCCCAGTAACCTGTGCACTTTAGCTGCACCTCTGTCGTGCAGTATGGCTGAACTCATCACCCGTTGTCTTCTCCTGGGAGACCAAGAATGTTAAAGAAAACCTCCAGTTAACCAGATTATTTACATGGACCAACGCTTTGCACTACGCTGTGTTTACTCCCTGCTACAAGGATGAAATGGTGATACCCACTGGCAAAGAGCACTCCAAAAACCACACAGTCGTCATCAGCAGGAGCAGGTGACCATGGGATGTACAATGGCAGAACTGAGGTTTACACTACTCAGCCGTCCCACCAAACAGGCCTGGTCTGACCGTGGAGTTAATGCATCCAGTCTGGCCTTCAATACAGAGTACTGGTGGCATTCTGCTAGTGGTGACAATGTCTTCACGCTGGGTTCATTCCTGAATTGTCAAAATGATTGTATTTGTCTAGCTATGGACAGAAAGTATTAATCATCATGGTCAACAGTGTAATGATTTTTTTAAATGCCTTGTTTCATAAGACCTACATAATTCCTGAGTGGCATAAAAAAAGGAGAGAATAATAGAGATTTTTTTTTTTTACACCCACTGATGGGGGAAAAAAGTGTGTCCAGTAGCACCTTAGAAGTGTTTCATTAAAAATACATTGTATTAATCTTGAATAGGATTTTTATTCTGCATAGGGGATAGCTCAACTTTATCAAACTTCGAAAACGATCAAATGAAACAAAATGCGTTTTTTTTCATATTTCTCAGTCTGCTCGGGAACTTGTGTTTATATTCTACTATTGTATTATTTAAAGTATTTTTCCCCCAGGTGTTGGGGGGGAAATCAAAGCCTTTTTGATGAACAGAATTTGTACCCTAGCAAGCACAGTCATTATATTTGTGGCACTTTTTGTACTTTATATTTGTAGGGAACAAGAATTTAGAATAATTAATTAAATAAATGTATTTTACAATAGAAAAAAAAGCATTTCTAAATAAATATTTTTTCAATGTATTTTAATGTTTCCATACCAACCGTACACTTTGCATTGTTTCAGTTGGTTTGATAAACAAGCAATATTATGATATAGAGATTTGCTGTTCATGTTGTTGTTGAACACCATTTTTATCATTATGATATCATGATTATGAGCTAAAGCAAGTGCAGCTGATATATACAGTACAGTGTTGTAAAACTGACTGCCTTTCAGCTATGAAGGAACTCCCTTGATTTTTTAAAAACAAATCTTTAAAAAAAAAACAGATGTAGCTGAATCTGTGAGAATAATAAGATTTAAGTAAATACAAATATCAGTGTGATAATTATAAAAACAATTCCTTCCATTTATGTGACACTTAATCTCAGTGGAAATAGATATATAGTTTACTTCTCATATGGTGCTTTACATTCACTTTATCCACAACAGAAGTCTGACACCCACCCGGGTGATAAACAGAAATTGCTTAATCTAAAACAGCAGGCTGTAACCCTTGCTCTGAAGCCATATCACTGCATTCTTTATTAGGAAGATTGAAATTCTCTGGGATGTGGCTGTTTCTCTTGAGAAAATACTTCAGTTTAGTAAATACCCTGCTGTATAAATCAGACTTTAGGTTGGCTTCAGAAATGAGAATTAGTCATCAATTAACCTATTGGTAAAATAAAGGAATATAAAAACAACCGTGATTAAGTAAGTGTACGGTGCTCAGATGTGCTTGTGAATCCATTTGAAGCTAACCTCTGCAGGTTACAGGCTGGTTTATAAGAATGAATCAAAACGACTTTGAACCTCTTGAGTATTTTTATTGTGGTCGAGCATATTTTCATGGCACAGTCCTGATGATATGATTAGGAGTTTTAGTACGTTTATTATCATTATTCAGAACTGAACTTTGTAGAATGTGGGAAGCATAGATAATGTAGATTTTTTTTATAATGCATGAATTCAACAATCTCTCAGTCCTCTTGTTTTGAGGTTGAGGTTATTAAGAAGCCATGTCAATTGATTGTTTTGCAGATTTTCCCAAGTTCCAAAATCATTTTGTTACAAGCTACACCATGACTGGATCATATATATACTGAATCGAAGGAAACTGTAAAAAAAACAATAAATCAGCTTGACAATAAGTGTTCCAAGTATTTGTTAAAGTAACACTAGTCCTGAGCTTATTTTTGGAATTTACCTCTGTTGAAACAATAAAAAATGATATGTTCAGAGAAACCACATTTGTTCACCACTCTGTTCATAATGTAGAACTGGTAGAAGTTCTCAGCCTGTCAAATATGATTTGTAAAGAAAGCTACAGAATATTTTTTAGACAAAAGAGGTAATAATGCACTTTTGTGTTTTTGTGACCTGAAACAAACAAACATGCATTCCATTTCAGAATCCAAAGTATAAAAATAACCATTTTATTTTGTACATCGAGCAGGTTTCACATGACTCAACTATTTTTTTAATGATTGTATATTTCAATACATATTGTACTGCACTTTTATTTTAAAAAGAGAAATAGAATATGTTAAGAGTATGATCTGCCAAATGTAAACATGAGAATCAAGCCAACAGTTTGTAAACACGCAGTGGTTCATAGTTCTCATGAATTAAACTGTAGTGCATACTGGTTATCGTACAGGTTATGAATGAGGCCATGTCTGAAGATCAGAGGCCTTTATGAAAAAATCTGGGAATATTGTGTAATTAATTATTGTACATTTAAGAGCATAAATTAAACATTTTTAAGACTAGCCTAGTTGTTTCTTTTTATGTCTTTTTGTAAAACAGGTGAATAACAAATATAAATACTGGAATTAAAAGGCTTTTTCTAACTTTTGTGAATACTTATATTGAGATGCAATAATTAACATATTGCTTAGTTCAATGCCTATGTAGGTAAGTATATTTAGAATCTCCAGTTTACTACGGACTCTCTGAATTTAGAATTATCAATTATCTTAACATTCTGGCTCTGGGCAACAGCTCCTGGAACCACAGTGGAGAATGAGGAACTGTAGATGGGCAAATGTGACACACCTTCAAGCCATTCATCTTTTGAGACATCTGCATCCTGCAGCAATTTCCAGGAGGTTCTGCGCTGAGTGCAGGACAGGTGCATCACTGACAATATCAGGAGTCTGCCAGCTGGTGCAGAAGTTGCAGGTGTCAGGAGCCAAGAGAGCACTAGGTTCCCAGACCTAGTCTCTATTCCCAGGACTGTCTCTGCTTGGTGGTACTGAGTCAGTTGTGTGCAGTCACTGAAGGAACTGCCACAGCTCTCCAGTTAAAGTAGGGAGCTGTGTCCGCACGTGTGAACTACAAAGGTAACAGGTAAAGGCTTATTCCGTGCTGAAAGGAAAAGAGACACAGCTCTTCGACTGTGGAGCCTTCTTCAGGTTAGCCGAAACATTGTCTCTTTTCTTTTCCTTTCAGCATGGAATAAAGTTACCTGTTCCTTTGCAGCCTACATGCTGACATGGTTCCCTACTTGAAAGTTTTCAACCTATTTGTGCTGCGACCCACTACACCTTCCGCTACAGTATATCTTTTTCTAGATCTCTCTGTCGTTCTTTCTCCTCCACCCCAGGCTCCTTGCTCCCTTCTCTCACTAAACTGGCATTCTGGCTCTTCACAGCCATCTGTTCCAAGACCAGGCTTTCAACCACCTCCTATTCCTCTAAGGATGTCATAATATAATTCCTAAAAGATCACACCTGAAGAAGGCTCCACAGCCCAACAGCTGTCTAGTGAAAACCCTGTAGTTAAAGCATGTGTTTTCCTTGAGAGAAAAGGAAGCCCAAATCCTGCCCCCCCCCCTCCCCCCTTACAACTTTTTAATTTAATTTAAAAGGAGAATTGTAAGAGTACACATCCTGTTGACAGCTTGAAACAAAATCTGCTTTTAGGAAAGCATTCTTTCTTAGCAACAGAAAGGGAGACCCCTTCTGGCTAGTTATGGCGTATATCTACAGAACCCTATCCATAACAGGCATCCATTACAAGATGTCCTCCTCCACAGCAATGGGTTCAAGCCCCCATAAGAATAGCAAATAATCAATAATAATAATAATAAACTTTATTTTATATAGCGCCTTTAAAGGTGGCTTCTCAAAGCGCTTTACAGAATGACAACAACAATAAAAAGAATACAAAAGATAAAACACAATTACAATATATAGAGGAGACCGTGGATGCTGGTACTAAGAATAGCAGAGGAGCAGAGTTCTAAAGAAGAGGGTTTTGAGTCTGGATTTGATGGAGTTTAGAGAAGGTGACTGTCTGATATCCTTGGGGAGAGAGTTCCAGAGCTTGGGGGCATAATAGGAGAAGGCCCTGTCACCCATACAATGTTGACGGGCTTGGGGGACAGTAAGGAGAGCAGAATTAGAAGAGCGAAGGTTGCGAGGTGGGGAGTAGGGCGATAATAGTTGAGACAGGTACTGAGGTGCCAAGCCATGCAGAGCCTTATAGGTGAGCATGAGGATTTTAAAGTCTACACGGAATTGGACTGGAAGCCAGTGCAAGGACTCCAGGATAGGAGTAATGTGATCATTTGCACTAGACCTGGTCAGGATTCTGGCTGCTGAATTTTGGTCATATTGCAGTTTGTTCAAAGTAGATTTAGATGCCCCAGTGAGTAGAGCATTACATTAGTCAATTCGAGAGAACACAAATGTGTTGATCAGCTTTTCAGCCACAGTTAGTGATAGCATAGGGCGTAGTCTAGCTCATGTAAACTCATATACTCTACCTTTTCCACAGCCACGCCTCAGACTCAGGGAATGATAGCAAGATGCAAGTATGATTTGTACATTTCTTTTCCCAGATTGATTTAATTTTTAACTGATTAATAAATGCAAGGAATTACATAGTATTTGTCATTCCTGAGGTTCACAAAGTACTTTTGACATAAGAGCAGATGCACTTGCTTCCCCAGTTGTTCTGCACCAGCAGTGAAGGCAGTGAAGTTAAAACTAAATTCTACAGAGTGGTAATGGTGCTGCTACAATATTTTTTTTCATCTCTGTTCATGTTTTCTTATGTTTTATTTCTTATTACTTTCTCTCCAGAAAAGTTTGCAGTAATTTGCATCTTGTTCGCCATTGCTGCCAAATTTTAAATTCAGTGTCAAGCTGTGGTATAATGGTGTTTACAATGCTTAATTAGATAGCATGTTTTTTTTGTTTCAAGATGGTGAAATGCAGTGTTTAAATGATAACCTGTCAAACCTCTACTAATGATCATTTTTTAAAACGTTTTACAATCCTTACTTAGAGACCTAAATCCTTTCATCACTTAGATCATCTGCTATCATTTAGTTTTGTAATCTACAGTCTGTGGGAAAAAAAAAGAGAAGAACAGGGAATTAAAACAATACAATAGCTGCTAAAAATTAAAAAATCACTGCCTCTCAGTGCGGTGTGTCAAAAACATGTTTGTGTAAAACCTTTCGATAAGAAACGACAATTCACAATGCAACTTTCCTGTTTTTAGATCACTGGGGCATTGTTTCAAATCAACCTCGTTGTGTATAAAAGCTGGCTGTGACCTGCAGAAAACGTAGGCCTCCAGAAAATTAGCAGTACAAAACATTGTAATACTTGTAATAGAAAACACATGTGACACAAATATGATGCAATATTTGATGTTTTCAAAGCAATTGTTCAAACTGTACACAGACCATAGTGATTTAGAAAGACAAAACCTTGCTCATAGGCTATTTTTAAATGAATACATGGAGAACTGGAGAGCTAAATCTTTAATTACATGTTTTTTTTCTTTTAAGAGGAAATTTCATTCTAAATGTAGAAGTTAATTAAGGGATGGAGTATTAAAATGCTATGTAAAATTAACAAGTAAGACCCCATTTAGAAGACTGGGGACAAATCTGGATGATACAACAAATGTATTGCTGGAATCAGTCCTGAGAAAAGCAACCAGTTACATTCTCAAACTCAAACAAAAGTCCTCCACTGACATAGAGTAATAAAACTCAACCTTTTTAATGAACAGAGAAGACTATGAGGGAATTTGATGCAAGTATTTGAAATCCTCAGTGAGTGAAACGCAAACCAACAAGTGAAAATTACATGGAAGTGCATTTAATAGAGGAAACACTTCCTTTGTTTGGTTGTGAGTATATGAAGCTGCCAAATCTTGTTCAAGCTGCAGCCCTGGCTTGTGTCAAGAAATAGCTGGATGAGATCCTCAGTTTGTAAATTTTCGCAAATTCTTGAGACTGATTTAAGCTTTATTTTGCCTGATGGGCAGTCCAACCACAGCTGATCCCAGAAAAGGAACAAGTAATAGGTTTATTCCATGCTGAAAAAAAGAAGAAAGAGAACACAACGTTTCGGCCGTGGAGCCTTCTTCAGGTGTG